TTTTTCTGGCCTCAAAAGGGTCTTGTTGGTCTAGTGGTGAGCGCTCCTGATTGCTAAGCCAGAGGTAGTGTGTTCATTTTCCACCATGAACAAACAATTGTGTGATGAATACGATAATTGGTTCTGCGTCTGGGTTTAAGTTCTCTATAACATGTGTATGTATTGTGTATGTGTATTTAGAAATTTATAAGTGATTGTGTGCCGCCACCTGCGTGTACGTCGGTTATCGCAATAAAAAGTAGCCTATGTTACTCGCTGATAATGTAGCTTTTATTAGTTAAAAGAATGTTTAAAATCGATTTAGTAGTTTAGGCGTGAGAGAGTAATAAACAAACAACCAAACAAACTCAGTTTCACATTTAGAATAGAAGTATTTTTTTGTTTTTGTTTAAAAAGACAACTCCCGCATTAGGAATATATTCCTGTGTCGCGGGGGACTTTACAAACATACATGAAACGGACACAAAGAACACCCAGACTCAGAACAACAACTTGTGGATCACACAAAGTGTCGTCCCATGTGGGGTTTGAACCCACAACACTCGGCGTAGTAGGAAGCGGCGTGGCGACCGCTTAAACCACTACGCCATCCGTGCAAAGTATGAATGTTTATCAGTAGTCTGATTCCATAACCCAGGCACTACCTAATTTGGAATCTCGTGATATCTCCAGTTATTGAATTAAATTACACATACACCGACAGCTACGATTGAGAGTTCTAAGCCTATTGTTACGTCGTAAAATTAATATTACTAGTAAGATTAAAGTTCTTTATATACTTTGTACAATAGAAAGAAAGAAAAAGAATTTATTCGTGGACATAAGAACACACACTCACAATATAAAGGTATATTAATACTAGGCTTAAGCGAAAGTACATTTTTATGTGTAGATACCTCACGTGCCCGCAGAACGACCTCCGTCCTCCATAAGCGCAGGCCTGGGGGTGACAGGTGAGGCCATCTGTCACCCTAGCAGAAGCAGGCCGGGATGGCGGGATTCCAGGGAGCACAGTGAACATTGGGTTCCCCACACGGGGGGGGGGGCGTCGTCTACTCGTCTGTAGATGACCCGAGGTATGTCGGGGCACCAGGGACTTCCTTTCTAAGGTATACCTGGTTCCCCGGCTATTAGTACCCGAGACGGCGTGCGGTTTTAGTCGGTTCGAGTCCGACATGCCACCGACAAGTGGTATCCGAGGGGATTTCCGCACGGAAAAACATGTCCTCCATCTTTCGTATTCTCATCACAAGTAACTTTTGATAGTTAATAACGGCAAGAAAGTTTTCTTTCATTTTCTTATTTATTATATAGTACTAGCTGTTACCCGCGAAACTGAAAAGCGCTGCCTTAGTGGGTTCGATTCCCGGACCGGGCAAATTTTTTTTGAGGGTTTTTCTGAGAGGAAACATAGACTAAGTTACTCCTTGTATAGGCAATAGAGTATGAAAAATAGATCATAATAAAGGTTTTTTTTTACAAATGGGATGGCTAGTTTGGCTAAATGGGTTACCGGAGTGATACCACAGCTGACTCTCCCGCAGTTGAACTATAATAAGAAAACAAATTAGTAGTAGATGAACATACACACAATAGCAACAATCTCTGTTTTGTCTAGGAAAATAAATGTAATAAAAATTATGCTTAAACAAAATCCATGATACGTCTGTGCCGATCTACAACCGGCCGCTAAAGCTAGCTTGACTGATAGAATACGTATATACTTTTTTTTTGTAAATACATACATATTATACATAGAAAACACCCAAACCCAGAAACAAATATTTGCAGATCATACAAACATTTGTTCCGATCTGGGCATCGAACCTGAGACCTCATCACAGCAGTCACATGCATTACCTACTGCACCATCGAGGTAGTCGAAGTGGAATAGTGACGTCGGTAGAAAGAGAAAGAAGACGGCGTTTTACATGTGTCTCTCTCGCACCTCTTGCGGCTATGTTTATTTATTCGGGCCAACAAATCAGCGAACTACCAACATCCACAGATCGTGGCTCCCTTCTCTCCTTTATCTGTATTCTCTTTATGATTACAACCCCTTTTTTCATAACTGGCAATAAACCATAACTTTAACCCCCAATATGTTAAACCAAAAACAGCTGACGCGATGCTATGCACCCTTCCAAAAACAGTTTCTTTTCCTCAATAAATAATAACATTATACTAGCTAGCGTCAGCGCCGAGTTTAGGAGCGATTTTGCAGTACCACTATGAAATGGCTTTGTAAATTGTTCTGATAACAAATTTTTTGGCTTTTTAAATGAAAAAAATCGTAACAAACAGATAAAATTTTATCTGGTTGTTACGATTTATGTTTATTATACAAAAACAACTGCAATCACAGTAGTAGTATTTGTTCAAGATGTTTGGGATTAATTTAGCACAAGCTATTTTGTAGTGGAAATGTGATGTGGACTAGTGTGTCTTTTTTTTTGTAAAAAAGAGAACTCCCGCATTAGAAATGTATCCTGTATCGCGGGGGACTTTACAAACATACATGACACGAACACAAATAACACCCAGACTCAGAACAACAGTTTGTGGATCACACACAGTGTCGTCCCATGTGGGGATCGGACCCACAACACTCAGCGTAGTGAGTAGTAAGTGGCGTGGCGACGGCTTAAACGATTACGCTATCCATGCAGTCATTTAATTTGCAATTTCTTTTGTTTTACTTCACTTTCTCTTTTATTCCATCTTTTCTATATTTTGTATTCTCTTCATTGCCTTTTTACCTTTTAGTCCTTAATACTTACACACTGGCACACATCAAAACAATGTTGTGTTTATTTAATGATGCTATTGTTATCTGTTGATTGAAAAGAGTTGCCGTGAGTTTGTTTGCCCTTTCTTCTCATGAGGCTCAACCCCATGGAAATGTGTGGTTATAGATCAGCACAGGCATATAAGAGATTTCCGATACGTATATATTTAGTTTGCTAAATATTTGACAAGACAGAGATTGTTGCTATTGTGTATGTTGATATATGACTCAGTCTACACAAGAGATGATTTCAAATGAAATAATTGTTACAAACAAAAGATTGACAGATTTACTTTTTAAAGAATATTACAAAGAGAACCACAAATATGTGGCCAGTGAGATTCAGGTGTCCGTGTAGTTGTCGGGGCACCAGGGCCTTCCTTTCTAGGGTATACCTGGTTCCCCGGCAATTAGTACCCGGCGAAGGCGTGCGGTTTTAGTCGGTTCGTGTCCGACATGCCACCGACAGGTGGTATCCGAGGGGATTTCCGCACGGAAAAAAAAAAAAAAAAAAAAAAAAAAAAAAAAAAAAAAAAAAAAAAGGTGTCCGTGTAGTGATGGATTAAGAATACGGAATGTCATTACCCCAATTCATCCCGTATGTGTCGTAAGAGGCGACTAAGGGCGCAAAACAACGCAGGACACCAGCACTGCAAAAAGAAGGAAAACTTGATACAATCCCTATACCAACCCGTCTGGCCAGCGTGGTATAGTAGGCCAAAACCTACTTTCTAAGGAGAGGCCTATGTCCAGCAGTGGACTATTAAAGGCTGTTGATGTGATGATGATGTGAGATTCAGCAAAGAGATTTGTATCGAAATAAGCTCAACAGACAGAACAGATTGCATTAACTATATAGCTAAGTATTTTTGAAACAACCTAGGTATGTACCTGTACATACATATATATGTAGGAGAATTAACGTGATCACGTAACCTTTAAATTGTATAACTATATAGGGAGAGACAATAAAGAGATTGTTTAAATGGATGAATTAGCTCGCGCAGACAGCCTCTAAGCTCTAAGTGAAACTGAATTTTGCTGGCAACTCTTTAACCAGAAAACGTATCTATATTTCGTCGGTTCGAAAATTCGAGTTTCTTAATCTGAAACATCAGAACAATTAGGGAAAGAATAATAACTACACACATCTCACACACGACCGAGCTATGGTAACCAGACTGCTGATAAGCATACTTATATATTTCTAAATACATACATATTATACATAGAAAACAAATATTTGCAGATCATACAAACATTTGGTCCGACACGGGAATCTAACCGGAGACCTCAGCACAGCAGTCGCATACGCTATCACTGCGCCACCGAGGTAGTATACTACGCTGGCCATAATAATAATTTCATTTACGTTTTAATAAAACAGTATTAATTATTAAAATTTATTGTAGCTTATTTAATTAAGGAATCTGCTCGTATAAAGAGTGTTATTGTGTCCAAAAGAGCTAAGTGGCTCGTTCTCCTCAATTCTACTTTTATACAGAGAAGATCATTGTTTAGTTCTACCCATGTCTGTGTTTATGTTATGAGGATCACAGGGATCCATTGAAAATTTATGTACACACATACACAAAGGTTTCTTTCCGTATAATATTAAAATTTAATGTTCCCCATAAGTCGATTACATTTAATCCACCCATTTCTATTCCATTTTCTTCCTCCAACTATAGCAAAAACTCATATATTATTCAAGCAAGCAGCGATTTCAACAAACTGTGCAAGGAGTACTCTTTTGATCCCTTTAATACCAAAAGCAATGTTGTGCGCAGTATGCTAAACCTTAAATTTTTCCAATCGTAACATTTTAGATCGATTGTCATTTATTGTATAGGTGTAGTATCGTGTTAATTGGTGACCCAGAACCTCTGTTAAATTACAATGATTCTATTCGTGAAAACCTGAAATTGGCTTGATGTAGTATATCAATCTGATCTGTTGGTTTTCCTAACTGAAGTAAATAAATAAATAATTATCCGTAATGTATAATTGAACACTTTATATACACACACTAAGATTATTATGTCCACCTTTGACGTACATTTGTAATCTTGTACTCTCTACAGGAAAATTCCCTAAGGCGTTTAAGAAAGCCATCATACACCCAATCTTCAAGGGTGGCGACGGAAGCCGTGTCAACAACTATAGACCGATTGCTGTACTGCCAGTCCTTTCAAAAATTATTGAACGGATAATGAATAACCGACTCATTACTTATCTAGAAGGAAACCAGCTTCTCTCATCTATACAGTTTGGTTTTCGAGCTGGTAAATCAACCTCAGACGCGGTACATGAACTCACCGACTATATAGTCACAGAAATGGATGGTGGACAAAAGGTTTTAGGCATCTTTTTAGATATTGCCAAAGCTTTTGACACGGTTTCCGTACCCAACCTTATGTCAAAGATGGAAAGCCTAGGAATCAGAGGTGTGCCACTGGATCTCTTTAAAGATTATTTAAGTGAGCGTACACAGAGAGTTAGGATAGGCGATTATCTCAGTGATGAGCGTGTACTCACATATGGCACGCCCCAGGGGAGTGTAATTGGCCCTACACTCTTCCTTATCTATGTCAATGATATAGGTATGCTCACTCTACCTAAAGGCAGGGCGGTAATGTTTGCTGACGACACTGCTCTTGTGTGAGACTCTACGGCTCTCTCAGAGGTAATACGTGGAGTGAAGTCTACGAGCGTGCTCAATCGGGGTTCAATATTGTATCTAAATGGCTAAGAAGTAACCTATTGACCCTGAATAATGATAAAACACACTACATCACATTCTCTCTGAAAGGCAATCCTTCAACCTCAAAAGCCCCACCTTATACAATACTGGCCCACACGTGTCCTGAACCGCACAGAGGTCAGTGCCCTTGCACTCCTTTACAAAATGCACATACCGTCAAATACTTGGGTGTGATCATAGATAAAAATTTAGGATTTCATGAACACATAGACGCCCTCAACAGTAGGTTACGTAAATTAATGTATATTTTTAAAACGATTAGATGCGTCTTAGACACTCAACGACTAAAAGCGGTTTACTTTGCCCTTGTTCAGTCAGTTCTCACCTATTGTATCACCATATGGGGTGGAGCGCCGAAAATTAGATTAATTGACCTTGAGAGAACGCAAAGGGCTATCTTGAAGGTGGCACTTTGTAAGCCATATCGCTTTCCTACTGCATTGCTGTACAGGGAGGCTGAAGTTTTGACGGTGCGTCAGCTGTTCATTTTGTATACTCTGCTGAAACAGCATTCTTTACTAGTCTATAACCAAACTCCTTCCAGTGTCAAAAGAAGATTCAATCCTGTACAACGTCTTAAGCTTTTAACAAAACATTCCAAACGGTTCTTTTGCCACATGGGCGGCTTCCTGTACAATAAGGTCAACAGAGTTGTACCGATATTCCACCTCACAAAGGCCATGAGTAAGCGAACGCTTACTAATTATTTGAAGGGGTTAAACTATGACGATACTGAAGCGATGCTTTCGGTAATAGTTTAGAGTTTGCTAATGACACGAATGCACATGAACAAACCCATGCCCACAAGCTCACGCATCCACATACTCACGCCTACTCACACACACACACACACACACACACACACACACACACACACACACACACACACACACACACACACACACACACACACGCACACTCACATAAACACACACACACAATTAATCACTCACACACATACACATACACACACAATCATTCACACGCAACACGCCACAATAATTTATGTACCTCACTTAATATGCTATGCTACTAGAAATAAACTATTAAATATAGTAAAACATGCAACTTTGTAGTGCTGGCTTGTGTAAAATAAATAAAAAAAATATTAAAATGTAAATATACACGGGGTGGAGACCTGGTGTCCTGAAACACAGGCCTCGAGCCTAGCTTAGGCACCAGTCTCCCACAATATTCTGGAAATGATAATTTGTATTTTTTTGTTTTATTCAAATGTAATGTATGCTATATTGTGGTGAGAAATTAAATTATTATTATTATGTCAATTTAAATTTAACCGTTCATTCCAATATTTAAAACACCGCCATCTGTTGTTACTGGTTCCGAACTTAAGTTTCCCACATTGTGTGGTAGTAAATTAAAGTATAAAAAATTCATAAAACTGGAGATATTACTCACCTTAGCAGTTAGAAATTATTTATTTATGGCACGTTGCCTTTTATCTAAACACAATCTGTATAAGTTCGGGGATTAGTAGCTTTGTAGAATCATATTTTTTTTTACTTACTTGGACTGATGATTTATTAATATTTAAGTATCAAATAGCCGTTCTTCCTCTTAAGTAATTTCAAGCAATAATTGTTTCAAAATTATTATTTCTTTGTTTCCTTAATTAGGTGGACATGGGCCTCTCAAAACGCTCTACACAACAACCGTTCCTGACATTTAAATTTTCGTCCCCATCACCTGGATAATTGGCGCTTTGCCACTATGCACTTTTCAAGACACTTTTTGTCTCGAAGTGGAACAATTATCGTTTGCGGTATTTCCGGACCGATACAACCTTCAAACCTTTAAGAAAATAATAATAATAATCGCTTGCATCTCACGCACGGCCGTCTCATCCCAAACTAGGCAGAGCCTGTACTATGGTAACCAGACTGCCGATAAACATACTTACATATTTTGAAATACATAAATATTATACATACATTACACCCAGACACCGAACAAATGACCGTGCTCATCACACAATATTTGTCCTAGGTGGGAATCGAAACAACGACCTCCGGTTTAGCAGTCAGGGTCACTTACCACTAGACCAACAGGCCCGTAATATATCCAAGTTTTTTTAAAATAAATAACTAACATGATTGGAACATGTTTTTCTTTCATTACTTTAGCCAAACATAATAAATATTGTAAGGTCCCACTTAAAAAAATCTTATCCTCTCATTGAACTTAATATAACACGTTTAATCCGTAATAGGAGGAAAGAGGAGGGAGGTGAAATGTTATCCCCTACGAATGGCATACGGACGGTGAGAGGGGGAGATGTATTAGTGAAATTCCTCCAAGGGACGGGGTTGTCGACTTTCCGAAGCTTTAATGGGCTAAATATCTTGAGCCCAGATAATTCGGATATAGGACCGTCGGCAGAAAAAATGGAATATAATATTTTTATATTCTTATGATAATTATAAATAAGGAAGTAAATTTGTTTTTTAACTGTGGCTAAAGTGAGAAATGAAAAAATTATATATACCTAAGTATAATTATGATATACCGGTTCTATTATGTATTTATTAAACTTTCTGCTTTATTTATTTTTTATAAGATATTTAGAATATCGGTGTGGTGACGAATTAAGAATACAGAGTGTCACCACCCCTAATTATCATGTGGGTGTCGTAAGAGGCGACTAAGGGAGCAACCTCGCAGGATAACACCACTGCAGAGAGAAGGCAAACTTGACACAAACCCTTTACCAACCCATCTGGCCAGCGTGGTACAGTAGGCCAAAACCTTCTTTCTAAGGAGAGGCCTTTGTCCAGCAGTGGACTATTAAAGGCTGTTGATGAAGATGATTTAGAATAACGAATTCCGTCTCACACATCACATCACACCAACTGTCTCACATAGGCCTCTCCTTAGAAACTGAACTGTATTGTCTACTTACCATAAAAGGAACAAATTATTATTTTTAGAACTTTTTAAGATGAACAATTCCCTCATACGTAATCGTTGCATAACTTTAATAATTTACGCCTAAAATAAACCTCCTTTCTAAGGAGAGGGCTATGTCCAGCAGTGGACTATTAAAGGCTGTTGATGTGATGATGATGTGATGAATAATTTACGCAATATACGCAACGCACGCTCTCACAAGGAATCCTCATTTCAAAACAGCTTTCATTGATTATCTGCTTTTGTTGTTCGTAAAGTGATGTTCCTGTAGCCTTCTTCAAAAAATTTACTATACAATACGAAAAAAATCTATTCGGACCAGTCATTGAGATTAGTGTTTTCATCCAAACAAACACTCTCTTCAGCTTTATAATATCAGTATACATTTTAAAATATCTGTAAAAATTACTTACCAAGTAAAATCTTAATTTGTTTATCTAGGTTTTTTTTTCACAAACTTGTTTTGCCGACGGTACATCGTTCAGTAAAGTAAGTATTAGGAAAGATTGGGCGCAAGTCGCACGATTTGCTGGAAGCCCGATTCATGCCGATACACCCTGATTGTTACTTGTGCGATGGGCCTTTTTGAATTGACCCCTTTAGGGGTCACAAATTTGCCATTAATGTCATTTTAGTCATTCATAGGTCAGAAGGTCAGTACTTAATTTTGTATTTCTGGTTTAAGGGGCAAAGGAAAACGGATCATCTTTTTTTTAATAGGGGGCAAACGATTAAACGGGGCGCCTGATAGAAAGTAAGTACTAACATGAACGCTTGCAACGCAGACGATAACTTGTTCCACAGATTGATTGTGGGAGGCAAGAAGTGTCTTTAAAAGCGCACAGTGATGGATTACCTGATGGAAAGTGACTTACAATGCAAGAGTCACAGTGTGGTACCGTCCTTTGAGTCTCTCCTTACATAAGATATGGGAATGGGGATAAAAGGGCTCAAAATTCTTCTCACTACATCTTCTTTAATTGAATATTACAACGGCTGCACTAGGTACCTACTACGCCGAGTGTTGGGCCCACATGGGATGACACTTTGTGTGATCCACAAATTGTTATTCTGAGTCTGGGTGTTCTTTATGTCCGTTTCATTTATGTTTGTAAAGTCCACCGCGACACAGGATATATTTATATAAACCTAGTCTATTAAATGATTTTACAAGAGGCTTAATTCTATCCTCCGTTCTCCCTAATTCTAGAAGGACAAAGGGTCTATCTTTGGCGTGTTAATGAACGGTGATAGTCATTTACCAGTCTGTTCGTTTTTCCGTCTTTTTCCTACGGTTCCTTTTCAAAAACTAGGTTAGCGTCGGTTTCGAGTCTACTACGTTCCGTTTAAACTTCGATTTTTTAAGCAGAGCGACTGCCATCTGATCTCCACAACCCAAGTACTAGAGGGTATCGAAGTTCGACAGAAATAATAATAATAATATTCTACCACATACACACAACGCCATCTAGTCCCAAACTAAGCAGAGCTTGTACTATGGGTACTAGACAACTGATATAAATACAATATACTTTTTTTTTGTAAATACATACATATTATACATAGAAGCACCCAGACCAAATCAAACATCAAATGTTCATGCACACAAATGTTCCCTTCCATGCTATTCCAAAACCTTTGGAATAGCAGTCTGTTACACAAACCACTACGCCATCCAGTCGTCAGAAATACTGTTGTTGGACTTCTTAGAACTCCAACTATCTGTAACGGTTGCTACAGATGTTCATATGGCAACTGGAACCGACGGCTTAACGTGATCTCCGAAGCACGGAGGAGTCTCAATGTGATAAGAATGGTCAACAATCCATAGAGTGACCTGGCTAAGATTGCTTATCCTAACGCAGTAACCTACTTGGTTCCCACTTAGCCAAGAATCAATTCTTCGTTTTATCAACAGCCTTTAATAGTCCACTGCTGGACATAAGCCTCTCCTTAGAGAGGAGGTTTTGGCC